CAGGGCCGCGGGCGTGATGGCCTGGAGCGCGTTGGGCTGCGGGATGTGGGAACAGCAGGGAGTTCTGTCACCCGTGGGACGGAGCCCTGCACTGAGCCCTGCACTGAGCCCGTTATTTACTGACCCCAGACCCCCAGCGCTGCGGATTTTACCCCGGGGTAGATTTTACCCCCAGTGCTGCGGATTTTACCCTGGGGTAGATTCTACCTCTGGCGCTGCAGATTTTACCCTAGGGTAGATTTTACCCCGGGGTAGATTTTACCCCCAGCACTGCAGATTTTACCCCGGGGTAGATTTTACCCCCAGCACTGCAGATTTTACCCCCAGCGCTGCAGATTTTACCCTGGGGTAAATTTTACCCCCAGTGCTGCAGATTTTACCCTGGAGTAGATTTTACCCCCAGCGCTGCAGATTTTACCTCCAAGACTGCGGATTTTACCTCCAGCGCTGCAGATTTTACCCTGGGGTAAATTTTACCCTGGGGTAGATTTTACCCCCAGTGCTGCGGATTTTACCCTGGGGTAGATTTTACCCCCAGTGCTGCAGATTTTACCCTGGGGTAGATTTTACCCCCAGCGCTGCGGATTTTACCCTGGGGTAAATTTTACCCTGGGGTAGATTTTACCCTGGGGTAGATTTTACCCCCAGTGCTGCGGATTTTACCCTGGGGTAGATTTTACCCTGGGGTAGATTTTACCCCCAGCGCTGCAGATTTTACCCTGGGGTAGATTTTACCCCCAGCACTGCAGATTTTACCCTGGGGTAGATTTTACCCCCGCACTGAAGATTTTACCCTGGGGTAGATTTTACCCTGGGGTAGATTTTACCTCCAGCACTGCAGATTTTACCCTGGGGTAAATTTTACCCCCAGCGCTGCAGATTTTACCCTGGGGTGTGAATTGTTTTAAAGCCAATTTTGGAGTTGTTGAATGAATTGAATCATTGAGTTATTAATTGAATTATTGAGTTAACTGAATTGATTTTTGGTTGCCGCGGAAGTTAAAACTGATTTTGGGTCCAAATTATTAATCCAAGGGTTTTCCAGCTTCCAGCCCAGAGGTGAAGCAGCAGATTCAGCTTAAAAGCTTTCCATAACTTAATTATTTAATTAATTTAAACAGTTTAATGTGATAGTCCAAGAAAATAATTTAATTCAGTAATTT